ATTTCTTTCTAAAAATATGTTCTCTGGTTCACCTGCAAGTTATTGAGCTTGATGCAGGAATTGCAAGGGGAAATTCTGTGGCCCATGATCATAATGGTTTCTTGTGGGTTTAATCTATGAAATTGGAGGGGGAAATCAGGACAGCAGGATGTAGTTACCTAAATTTGAGTGTGACCAGGGCCCTGAGGCTAAAGAGTGTGCCAAGGGATCATAAGTAACAAGTGAGAGTGTTTCTATTTTGCATTCATAAAACTGCCAAGTTGAAAGTTTTCATCTTTTTTCAAGAGAGAGAATGTTCTTCACCCATATTTAAAATAGAGAAGCAATACTAATTTAAAATCAGTCAATGTGAGAACTACTGAACCAGTATTCTTCAAACTTTATTTGGCAGATTACAATGAGAACTAAACTTAAGTCAAGAGGAGACCTTTATAAAAACCTGAAAGGGTAACTACGTGAAAATCTATGGCCTGTGTTATGCCATAGAATGTCAGACTGGATGATCTAATCATCCCTTTTGGGCCTTAGAATTTATGGATCCAAGTGAGATTGTTAATAATCAACCTTGTTTTATGAAATTCACCAAACTTTAACCTGCACATCAAAGCAAATACTCACCCCAACGAAGGGAATGAACTTCTGGGACGATTCTTCATCAGGGCTAGAAGCAACAAGGAGAGAGTGATTAATAAGGAGTTCTTTCAATGCTGAGACAAAAAATTCACGTTACTGTTTCAATAAAGCATGCAGCAGGAACTGAAAATGTGCAAGCGCCAATTCTATTTCTTCTCTCAGCATCCCTCTGACAATATTCTGAGAGCCCACACTGGCTGGGGAGTATTGTACCGCCTCAGGAATCTTCTTAAAATAAAATGGGAAGTTCCCCCCCCCCCTCACTCCCTCGCTGGTTTTTGTAGAGAGAGAAAAACATGCTTTAATGACATGGCAGTAGCTACGCTCATACACATGACCTCCTACTGCAAAGAAATGAACCCGTGCCACAACATACATCACCAGCAATACAGAGACCTGCAGGTTACTTACTAATAACTGAAGCTCTCGGAACACATTGCCTTCACGAGTCCCACTTTGCAGTCGAGTGGCATACCTTGCAAATCCCAGAATCACTAAAGCAGTTAGCCTCCCATGGGTTAACAAGCCATGACACCTTACTTGTGTGGCACCAGACACACACATGCACAAGAACAGGTAACCCCTGCCACAAGGAGCTTACACCCTGAGTGAGACAGACAGCGCAAACAAAGCCCAGGCCCAGAGTGGGAACAGAGTGCTCTTGGGAGATCACTGATATTTAGGTAGTGAACTGGAAATAGTGACTTCAGAAGGGCTGGGAGGAGAGGCAGATGGCTCCCCCAGACAGTGTAAAGGGACACAGATGAGATGTCTCACGTACAGTCCCAAGTGCAGCGATGACATGACTTACACTTTGAAGGAGGTTGCATATCAGCCCTGCCCAGCATTCGAAACATGGAGGAGGGGAGAGAAGAGATTTGTGGAGCTGTGGTGGTACAGAGGAAGGAGGGGGAGCAGGAGGCACACTTGGGAGGCAGGGAGACAAGAGAGAGAAATGATGGGTAGGAGAGGAGGAAGGGAAAGTAACTATGATGCTTGGTGGGAAAAAAACCTCTAGGGCACCATGGAGGGACACTACGAGAGGTGCAGGGATGGGGACAGAATGGCAGAGGTCAGGAGAGGGCCAGTGGAGAGGCCTGAAATGTGCGCGCGCACATCTGAGGCTGAATTTGAAGTCAAAGAAAGCAGGTGGGAGAGTTTTAAATCTCACGATTTTTGAATGCCGGGAGCTTTGCACTCTGGCAAGAAAGGCGTTTGCTGTAGCCTGGACTACTGCAGAGCGCAGCTCAAACACTCAAGACGTGGAGTCCATCAAAAGAAACAAGCCACCCTGTGGTGCTCTCTGCAGCAGATCCTCTGAAAAGGCGTGGAAACATGAAAAATGCTGACAACTGCACAAGTCGGACTGGCTAGACAGCTTCCTCCCAGCCCTGTGTAAGGGGTGGCATGCAGCTGAGGGATGTGTGACTCTGGCACAGCTCCCTCCCTGCTTCAGGGGCAGGGGGTGTTTTACCATAGCCCTTCTTACGGTGCAACTTACCCTTGCACTGGCTCAGCTGGTAGGAGTGTTGGGGTGGAACCAAGGCTACTCTCACTTCCCGACCCAGCCGTTTTCTTCATGCTTCATCCACGCTGAGCAAGAACTAATTATACAGATCCCCGTGTCCTTTATCTAGGCTTTCCATCACACCCTTTTAACTCCAGTGCCAGCCCTTGCCATGTAACCTCTAGAAACGTCCCTGAACAAATCCTCCTAGAGTACATAGCAGAGAAACTGGGAAGTGCTATTGATCCATGTCCCTGAGAAATCTCATATGGACAATGGAAGTTGTAGAGCTGTTGGGATAAAACAGCAATGGAATCTCAGTCCTTTCCTTCCTCAGCTACAGTAGATAAGAGCTGTCCTCATCTGGCAGCCTCACACTGCTGGCCACTCAGTGGAATGATGAAAGTACCAGAATATCATGCTTCTTAATCTTGCTGCTATTCAAGTTCTTTTTAAGCACTAAAAAACCCAAACCAAAAGCTGTTGCACCAGAACACTTGTTCCGTTCTGCTGAGTACCAAAGCAGAATCCTTCCAGGGAAAGCTGAGACATTGGTGATTCTAAAATAGTAGTTTGCCCATTTTAAATGGCAAGTAATGGTTCTTTTCTTAACTACTGCTCAACAGTTGGTTAATGTTTCTTAAAATGACAACTGAACAGATTTCAGCTAGAAGCATTAACCCAAAATCACTTAGTTTGGAAGAAGGCGCTCTTCTTTAAATATTGTTCTTTTGGGCAGTATAGAAGTTTGCTTATTTTTATGTCTATTAATTATTTTAATAGAGAAACACCAGCAGGATGGATGGACTGACATATGTATAAGTGGCGCTCAGAAACAATGAGTGCCATAGAAAGCCTTAGCAGTTAGCTAAGAGATGACTGAATGCCCAACCTTGTAATGTACCAGTAATCAGGACTGCTAGGAAGTACTGAAGTACTCGCCACAATGCATACCGGATTCGATATCGGAACAAAGCAATTCTATGGTGTGATTTTTTTTTTTCAAAAAAGTGGCTTTGAAAACCACAGTCCCAGGCGCCTTCGTCTGACACTTTTCTTGTATTTAACTTCTCGTTCTTGAGGTTGGATCAGACTGGCAGGAGCTGGAATTGGGGGCTGCTGGTCTCCCTCCCTTCTCCGAACAATCAGTGGGGAATAAGCCTTACAAGCCAGCCTCTGTCCAAAAGAAAATGAAAGAACAGGGGATCAGGGCTGCTTCGCCTGACTAAACAAGCCCAACGAAGGCCTAGTCTGCACTAGAAAAGGTTTTGATGAAATAGTAACAGTCAAGAAGGGTAACCTAGAACTACAGGGATTTTAAATATGAGAGTGAAAAAATTGAACAGCTGCCCTGATCTTGCAAAATGTGGTCACTTTATATTAAGCTTCCATTTATAAAGGGTGGATAAACAATTAACAGGTGTTCTCAGACTGTTACGGACATGAGGAATATGCTACAGAGGGCAATCAGATCAGCAGAAGGTGTTTAAGTAACCGGTTGATCTGCAGAGGGGGATAACAGCACTTTTCTAGTCACGGGGATGGGAAGGTTAAAAGCACTAAGATTGTGAGGCACTAACCTGTTACAGTGATAGATGCCAGAAAAGTACTTAAGGTTGGTTAGTCAATTGTTAGCCTTGTATTAAAACACTTATTAACTCTTTATACACTATAAATGTAACTTTAATACAGAGTGTGACACTGAATGTATCGGAGCGGGCTTGACTTTACAGTCGGAGGTCCAAAACCAGGCTCTCAGTTCCAGCCATGCCCCCATATAGGCAGCAGGAGAAAGGGGTGGCAATTCTGTCCCTGGAGGTGATGTCCTTGTGGCCCATTACACTGGTTGTAGGCCAAGTGCCAGCATCATCATCATGCAGGGCAGTCACTCCACACCCCAGAATTCTCATCCTTAGGGATGAGGGCATCAGTGCTTGCTGCTAAGTCACTGCAGCTGACAGTCACAAAAATACTGGTTTTGATTTCATCAATTTGCATTGTGAATAAATGGATGAAATGGCCAAAAGTCATTTTGATGCTTTGGAAGATTCACTTCCAAATTCGATTTCTCCCTGTGGGTGGGAAGCATTTCAGTCTCTCTCCGCAACTTCAGACCATGCTATAGGCTGCATCTGTGCCACAGTAGCACACTGCATTTGAGTGTTCTTGGTCTCCCGAAAGACGTAAAATTCTTATTAGAGTGACCATAAGCCCTTGCAAAACCAGCATCTTTTCCTGGAATGCAGCTATTGGCGATCATGAGAATACAATAGAATGTAGTAAAACATCACATTTCAGCCCCATTTACCCCCTGCTGCACAGTTCGGAAAGGTCAAATTATTCTAGGATATACTAAGATGATCCGAGGAATGGAAAACCTGTCTTATGAAAGGAGACTCAAAGAGCTTGGCTTGTTTAGCCTAACCAAAAGAAGGCTGAGCGGAGATACGATTGCTCTCTATAAATATATCAGAGGGATAAGTACCAGGGAGGGAGAGGAATTATTTAAGCTCAGTACCAATTTGGACACAAGAACAAATAGATATAAACTAGCCATCAGGAAGTTTAGACTTGAAATTAGACGAAGGTTTCCAACCATCAGAGGAGTGAAGTTCTGGAATAGCCTTCCAAGGAGAGCAGTGGAGGCAAAAGACATATCTGGCTTCAAGACTAAGCTTGATAAGTTTATGGAGGGGATGGTATGATGGGATAGCCTAATTTTGGCAATTAATTGGTCTTTGGCTATTAGCGGTAAATATGCCCAATGGCCTGTGATGGGACACTATAATAATAATAATAATAATAATAAATGGAAATATCCTATCTCCTAGAACTGGAAGGGACCTTGAAAGGTCATCAAGTCCAGCCTCCTGCCTTCACTAGTAGGACCAAGTACTGATTTTGCCCCAAATCCCTAAGTGGCCCTCTCAAGGACTGAACTCACAACCCTGGGTTTAGCAGGCCAATGCTCAAACCACTGAGCTATCCCTCCCCCTACATAGGGTGGGATCTGAGTTACTACAGAGAATTCTTTCCTGGATGTCTGGCTGGTGAGTCTTGCCCACATGCTCAGGGTTTAGCTGATCGCCATATTTGGGGTCGGGAAGGAATTTTCCTCCAGGGCAGATTTGCAGAGGCCCTGGGGGTTTTTCGCCTTCCTCTGCAGCGTGGCGCACGGGTCACTTGCTGGAGGATTCTCTGCACCTTGAAGTCTTTAAACCATGGTTTGAGGACTTCAATAGCTCAGACATAGGTCAGGGGTTTGTTACAGGAGTGGGTGGGTGAGATTCTGTGGCCTGCGTTTTTCAGGAGGTCAGACTAGAAGATCATAACGGTCCCTTCTGACCTTAAAGTCTATGAGTCTATTCCCTCAGAGTGCCGGAAATGCTGTCATGTTTCCATCAAGTTCTCACCAATGCCAACCGTAACAGGCGGGCATGGCTGAGCCAAAAAGAGGCATGGTTCGGGGGGAAGGAGGAACAAAGCTGCCACTGCAGGCTCCCCCCAGTTGCACCTAGATT